GGGCAGTGTCACCCTCCTCTACCCCCTACACACCCTCTCCACCAACCCCTCCTGTGTACTGTGCTGTGGTGTAAGGCTGGTCCTGGTTAGAACTTACTGAGAGAGAGAGAGAGAGAGAGAGAGAGAGTAGTGGTCATTAAACAAGGTCGCCACCTTGTAGTAATAGTACACTCTCTCTCTCTCTCTCTCTCTCTCTCTCTCTCTAGGACAGGACCTTTACGACGCTACTCTTATACGTCGAGGGCGGAGAAATGCCAGGTGTCTTAATAAAGGTGTACAGGTGTAGGTGGCACGCAGGTGTAGGTGGCACACTGTGGGTCTGATGGTGTGGCCCCGCCTGGGTGTAGGAGTGACGTGGGTGTCGCTGGCTCGTGGGTCCTGTTGCTGTCTGCCTGGGTGTAGATGTGGACAGGGCACGTGAGTTTGATCCGGTGTGTAGGTGTAGGCTGTGAAAAGGTGTAGCATGATCGTGGGAGAGAGAGAGAGAGAGATAGAGCCTCGTCTCCTGATTATCTCCCTGCGTGTCTCTCTGTCTCCTCTATAGTGACACACACACACACACACACACACCTTATTCGCGATAGGTAAATGACCATAGGGGTTTAATGCCTTGTGGAGTGATAGTCATCTGTAGTGGGTGTAAGAGGCACGTGGGTATAGCCTAACTAGTGTAGGGAGTGTTGTTTGGGTGTAACACAAGACCAACGGATTTAATAACAGGTGTAATGTCTGTACATACTTGTCTTAAAAGGTGTTGAATATTGATAAGTTTAGTCACAAGTTGTCAGGACCCCGAAGATCTCTGCACACGCGTCTGAACACTGTTATTTGGTCTGGCCCGTAAAGGAACATTTGATCAGATAGTTTTGTATTGGGGAGGAAAAAACTTGTTAATATTATGGTATTACGTGTTGGTTTTTCTTATTGTAATGATGGTTGAAAATTGAGATTGAAAATGGTGGTATTTGTGTAGTGTGTGTGTGTGTGTGTGTGTGTGTGTGTGTGTGTGTGTGTGTGTGTCAGGAAAGCAACCTTGCGTAAGTCTTCCCCTGCCAGTACACACCATCAAGACTCCTGCTGTGCTTCCTCGTGGCAACACACGGTAACTGGGTGCCTCACATGGGAGACGATTATTCCACACCGTAACGCTTGGAGGATCACCACACGAGAAGGTGTCAATACTTTCGAGTTAGTCCACTGCAAACCGAGGCAGACAAGTTCCACCGAGAAGACGCTGTCGCCGCCACTCCCGCGCTAGATGTAGCCCTCCACATGTGCAACAGTTGTGAACGACGCTGCGGGTCCCGTATCGGTCTCTTTAGTCACCTCAGAGCTCACCAACGAAGGTCACATCCTTAATAACCCATATCATTGTAGCATAGCTGGATGAATCATCATACTCTATTCCGAGTGACAGGAAAGTATGTATATGTGCGACTCACTAGCACAGGGTAACGTTACTGGTGTGTGGGGCGGGGCCAGCGTGTGCCTCGTGGTCGCTGGAATACTAGACAAAGCTGGTGCTATAGTGTACCGGCGGGGTGTAGTCCTGGCCGGTGTGTTGAAGGTGCAGTGTCAGTGTTGGAGAGGAGGAGGAAGCCATCATCACCACCACTAGTGCAGCCCCCTCCCTCCCCTGGTGGTAGGGGGGAGAGGGGTGTTGGTGGTGGAGGGTAATGAACGGTATTGAACACTATGGTAGGAGAAAGGGGCGTGGTGGTGGTGGTGGAGATGGTAGATGTTGAATACCATGGTAGGAGCAGTCACGTGGTGGTGATGGTGGTAGTAGGAGCAGTCACGTGGTCGCTCCTTGTATCAGTGTGTTCCTTATAGCAGGGTGTGTCGTGGTCATGGTGTGTGGTAGAGGTATATATGGATGAGACATTAGCCCATGCTGTTGGCTGGTTGGTGTGGCAACTTGGCAAGACTGTAGGCCTCTCTCTCTCTCTCTCGGTGATTATTACACAAGTGTTGTTGAGCGCGACATGTACAGGGTGTGTGCGTAGTACTGTTGCCGACTTCGTATTTCGCCTCTGATTTAGGCATCACCAACTCCTCTGACTTTAAGAAAGGTTAATCTATGGATACTTTTGTGTTTACTTAGAGGTTAAAAAAAGTTAGCTATGGTACTTTTATGTTCACCAGAGGTTAAAAAAAAGGTTAAGCTCTGGTCCGCGTGGTGTCGTTGCCTCGGATACTGTTAGATCTGGTCACAGCTAAAGCTTTTAAATGGCGGTCAACATTCCTTAGTTTGTCTCAGGAACTTTTGTAGAATGTATTGAGGATGGTGAGGTTGTGTGTGTGTGTGTGTGTGTGTGTGTGACGTATACAGGTAAAGCTTATTATCATTATGACGTCTTTCAAGGTGTGCGTTATTACGTGATGATAACACCTGTGATTACGGAGTCCTATATAACACCATGATAAAACCTTGTGTGGTGACGTGTTATGGCGTTATAGTGAGGGTTGTGGTGTGTGTTAAAAGGAACCGTTTAATTGGTGGCTCGAGGGCTTAGGGTCGACAGTGCTGATTTATTACTGGTGTAGAGGTATAGTGAGGCTGGTACTGTTGATGTAATTACTGGGGTCATTACTGTTGTTTGTGATGATGTTATTATTACTGCTATTATTATTGTTATTTTTATTATTATTGACATTATTACTATTATTATATACCACAGTTGTCATACTAAGCTCAATAGAGAAGATACATAATACAACATAAGATGAATTAGCAGCAGAAGGTGTATATATATGTATGTTTACCACACATACAAACATAATATTTGGGGGTCGTGTTTATGTAGTGGAGATTCTTAAGCCTGGTTTATCGATATGCTAAGTAGAGGTGAATGGTGTTGTGTGTTGTGTAGGTGGTGAGACACGACAGGTACTGGCGTTTCTCCTGGTGGGTGTAGGCTGAGTGTGTGTCCTGTGTTGACGTGGGTGTGGTGTAGAAGATAGCAACATACAAGTTAGGTGTTTGGTTTGTTGTGTGTTGGGTCAGGTGTGTAGTGTTGGGTCAGGTGTGTAGTGTAGATGTGTGTGTTTGTGTCCTTTGGTGTTGTGTCTGTGGGTGTAGTGTGAGAGGTGATGTTTAGGTTCTGTCGGTGTGAGTGTATTTGGGTATCTTCCCTCTCCTCCCTCTCATCGTCTTCCCCTCTCCCTCTCCTCTCTCATCAGCACCTACTACTCCCTCCCTTCCTCCTCTCTCCCTCACCTCTTTTATATCAGCACCCACTCACTCACCTCACCTCTTCCCCTCTCCACTTACCTCTCATCAGCCCTCTCACCTCTCATCAGCTCCCTCTCTTCAGCCCCACTCCTCTGAATAATAAAAAGAGAGGCAATTTGTCGGCGGCTTTAGTCTGCCCCTTACCTAGCGTGTACACCTGGTCGGGGCTTCAGGGACCCCCCCCGTCCTGCCCTGAATTCTTGGGAGGACTCTGTGATAACTTATCAAGGTAATGCAGTTCATCTCTCTTATTAGATAACTAAATATGAGCTTAGGTGTGTGTGTGTGTGTGTGTGTGTGTGTGTGTGTGTGTGTTTGTGTGTGTGTGGGGTGATTGTTTATCTTATCTCTGTCAAAAGCGGCTGTCCAATCATTGTTTGTTTACATTATGAGCCAGAATGGACTTGCAGTGTTGTTATGGCCACAGCGGCTTGTATTGTATCTTGTAACACTGTTTGTACCACTGTAGTACCTTGTTATGTCCGGCTACAGCGGCTTTTTGTATCTAGTAAAATATCTACACATGATCCCCCCATCCCAGCTGACAATGCCTGTGTCTGTCTGTCTGTCTGTCTGTCTGTCTACTTTACACTAGTTGCGTAAAGGGCACGATGATGGTAGTGGTAGTGATGGTAGTGGTTGTGATGGTAGTGGTTGTGATGGTAGTGGTAGTGATGGTAGTGGTTGTGATGGTAGTGGTAGTGATGGTAGTGGTAGTGATGGTAGTGGTAGTGATGGTAGTGGTTGTGATGGTAGTGGTAGTGATGGTAGTGGTAGTGATGGTAGTGGTTGTGATGGTAGTGGTAGTGATGGTAGTGGTAGTGGTGATGGTAGTGGTAGTGTGGAGCGATGGTAGTGGTAGTGATGGTGGTGGTTGTGATAGTAGTAGTGATGGTAGTGGTAGTGATGGTAGTAGTGATGGTAGTGATGGTAGTGGTAGTGATGGTAGTGGTAGATGGTAGTGATGGTGGTGGTAGTGGTAGTGATGGTGGTGGTAGTGGTAGTGATGGTAGTGGTAGTGATGGTAGTGGTAGTGATGGTAGTGGTGATGGTAGTGGTAGTGATGGTAGTGGTAGTGATGGTAGTGGTGGTAGTGGTAGTGATGGTATGGTAGTGATGGTGGTGGTAGTGATGGTGGTGGTAGTGATGGTAGTGGTAGTGATGGGTGGTAGTGATGGTAGTGGTAGTGATGGTGGTGGTAGTGATGGTGGTGGTAGTGATGGTGGTGGTAGTGATGGTGGTGGTAGTGATGGTAGTGGTAGTGGTGCTGGAGGTGGGTAGCGTGTGTCTCCCCTAGAGTCAGGTAATAACTCAGGTAATTAATAAGTTTTCTTGCTAATCAACGTCCACTAACCTCACCTGAGCCAAGTAATGATAAGTGAGGACAATAATTAAGTTCCTAATTAATGTACCACGTAAGTGTGTTTGTTGTGGCGCCTAAAGTAATGTGTCACTGTGTTTGTTTGTTTGTTTTGTGTTGTTTGGGTAGGGAACCCGTGGTCGACCCAGCTGTGAATAAGTACGAGGCTTCAGTTGAGAAGTGAAAGCGGTCGAGTACAGTGCCTCTTTCTGACCGAGTCTTAGTATTCAGTGGTGTGTGTGTGTGTGTGTGTGTGTGTGTGTGTGTGTGTGTGTGTGTGTGTGCGTGTGTGCGTGCGTGCAAGGGACCCACTTTCTCTGGCAACTCTTATTATTATTCTTAATGTTGATGTTTGATGACTGTATTCCCGCCACAGGTGTTTAATGATTGTTTCTTTCTCTCCAGGTGTGTGGCCGGTGAGGGAGAGCAAAGGTGAGCTCAGGTAAGGGAAAGGGTTGTGTCACACTGGACGTAGATGATGATTTATCGATCTCCAGGTGTTGTGTTAACTTGACCTCTCTACTGTAGCTCACTGCGACCTGCTTTAATGTACGGTGACGGAACACTTAGGCCCCAGTCTTAATGGGCCCCAACCCTAGGTAAGAATTAGTCGGGGTCTATTAGGATTGGGGCCCGTTTGATGTGCGACTGGTAACATGTGTGGCCTTGGGCTACTGGAATAGTGTCTTCGCTGCAGTGAGTGTATGTCGATCCAGAGAGCAGTGTTGTGGGCGGTGGGTGGCGGGTGGGTGTTTGAATTTATGTGGATGGTGGGCGGCAAGGTATAGCGGGTGGGTGGTTGAATTTATGTGGATGGTGGGCGGCAGGTTGTGGGGCTTCTCCACACTCGCCGCCCCCGCCCTACACCAGGCCTGCTGTAGGGTTTCATGTCAAGTGCTACAGCGGCCGGCGGCGTGTTTCTTCCCGTGGACGTTTCTTCACTCTTGTTGTATTGGTCGGTTAGGTCAGGTCAGGTCAGGTTTGGTTAGGTTGGGTGAGGGTAAGTCAGGTTAGGTCAGGTGTGTAGGACTTAGGGTAGTAGAGGCAGGGTCTGGTCATAAATCTGTATTACCCTGATTTATGGAGCAGTTCATCACGCTAGCCATAGTCCAATGCTTGTTGCTCTCTAACGACACCCCACCACCACCAGCGAGGTACCAGGAGAAGGCAGGGGAAGTAACACACACACACACTATCACCACAATACTGACACCATCACAGCGCCATCATAGTACCAACAACTATTATAAGCACCCAGCAAGCTATTAACCCCCCCCACCCCCAAGTGTTAGTGGCACACAGCATCAGTAGGTGGTGGTAGTGGTCGAGGAAGTGGCGCTGCGGCGGAAGTTTCGTGGGTCTGGATCAATCCCACTCCGACCTTGACTTGCCTACCACCACCACTACAATCTGTCCCTGTAAGTGTAATATAATGAAGTGGTTGTTTATTATTTTTTTACCTGCGTGTCAAAATATCTTCCCTATGTGTGTGTGTTTTGAAATGACAGCGACACTTAGTTGTTCACTTCAGGGCATCGAACCTGTCTGTGTGTACGTGTGTCGGAAGCTGAACTTTCCCGGAACCACTGATGCAGCCATTAGAAGGTCGTTTGAGGCTTAGTGAGGCCCCGGGGCATGATGCGAGTGTCGACCTTGTGGCGTGTGAGGGCGTGACACTGCCTTGCCCCGCTAATCTCTTTTCTCCCCACCTCTACCCCCTTACTAACCCCTTTCCTCCCCTCTCCATCTCCACCCGTGCTAACCCCTTTCCTCCCCACCCCACTAATCACCCCCTCCCCTCTCCCCAGCTGGGTGTAACTCACAACTCAATTCAGTTTCTAAGTTTCATGGGAACCAATTTTGTGCTCATAGCGTAAACGTCCACAGTTAAGTAGTTACAACACATTAAATTTCAGTCATGAGAAAGTGTTGTGTTGTGATGTGTTGCTGTGATGTCTTGTGTTGTATTGTGATGTTTCGTGTGGTGTGTCGTGTTCACCTGACTGACAACGTTCGCCTGGCGTATATCTAACTGAGGAATAGAATGGGGCCCGGAACGCCAGGCACAGTGCATGGGAAAGGTAATACCGAGGCTGGTGTTCATGCCGTGGACCAGAGTCTCGCGTGGTGGTGGGACGTATTACAACACGATACAGTACAGCGTCACGTGAGGTCTTATCTCCCTACACTAATACCTCCCTTCTCTTTATCATATCTGTTATTGTTATTAGTTTTTACATTGTCTGATTCATCTTTCGAGGAACATGATTTTGGTGAGTGTAAACAAGACAGGTGAGGCAGTGTAAACAAGGCATGTGAGGCAGTGTAAACAAGACAGGTGAGGCAGTGTAAACAAGACAGGCGAGGCAGTGTAAACAAGACAGGCGAGGCAGTGTAAATAATACAGGTGAGGTAGTGTAAAGAAGACGGGTGAGGCGGTGTAAACAAAACAGTGAGGCAGTGTAAACAAGGCATGGGAGGCAGTGTAAATAATACAGGTGAGGCAGTGTGTAAACAAGGCATGTGGGAGGCAGTGTAAACAAGACAGGTGAGGCAGTGTAAACAAGGCATGTGAGGGGCAGTGCAAACAAGACAGGTGAGGCAGTGTAAACAAGGCATGTGAGGCAGTGTAAACAAGACAGGTGAGGCAGGTAACAAGGCAGGCGAGACAGTGTAAATAATACAGGTGAGGCAGTAAACAAGACAGGTGAGGCAGTGTAAACAAGACAGGTGAGGCAGTGTAAACAAGACAGGTGAGGCAGTGTAAACAAGACAGGTGAGGCAGTGTAAACAAGACAGGCGAGACAGTGTAAACAAGACAGGTGAGGCAGTGTAAACAAGACAGGTGAGGCAGTGTAAACAAGACAGGTGAGGCAGTGTAAACAAGACAGGCGAGACAGTGTTAATAATACAGGTGAGGCAGTGTAAAGAAGACGGGTGAGGCGGTGTAAACAAAACAGGTGGGGCGTCCATAAAGCTGTCAAACGCAACTAAGAACAACTCATGTCCTCTGTCAGTCAGTCAACCAGGGCGTTCATAGAGCTATCAGACGCAGGCAAGTAGACTAAACGCAAGATTTTCTCCGACCTTCCCGCCTCTCTCACTCCTGACAGCTCCTCCTTCGTCAGAGCTGGGAGTCACGTGACCTCACTCGTAACCCGGAGAGAGACCGTGAGCGACATGACCTCCAGCAGGCGTAGTGGTGACCTCCTCCAGGCCCGCACGCTCCCCACCCTCGCCAATTCCTGCCCCCGCGCCCTTGGTGGCTGTATTGATGGACGGTGATGTGTGTGTGTGTATGTATGTATGTATGTATGAGTGCGTTTGTGGTGTATATGTGTTTGTGTGTGTGTATGTGTGTGTGTGTGTGTGTGTGTGTTTGTGTCCCCTTGTAAAAGTATTGTTTTTTTATATTCCCCCAACGTTTGTACCTGTGTGTGTGTGTGTATATGTAAAACACCATCGTATTATACAGTACATGAACACAAACGTACATACATACATACATACATCTAAATACATAAATACATCTACATACATACATACATAACACAGGTGGTGGTAGTTCCTTTGTGTGTGTGTTACTGACGCCCTCACCTCTGACGAGTTACATAACAGGTGTGTCTTTTTTATAGTGTGTTAGCGGGTCACGACACAACACAGTGTTAGCGGGTCACGACACAACACAGTGTTAGCGGGTCACACACAACACAGTGTTATTAGCGGGTCACACACAACACAGTGTTAGCGGGTCACGACACAACACAGTGTTAGTGGTTCACGACACAACACGCGTTAGCGGGTCACACACAACACAGTGTTAGCGGGTCACGACACAACACAGTGTTATACCCACACAACACCGCGTTAGCGGAAACACGACACAACATGCGTTAGCGGGTCACGACACAACATTAGTAGCATGGGTCACGACACAACACAGTGTTAGCGGGTCACGACACAACACAGTGTTATTAGCGGGTCACGACACACCACAGTGTTAGTACTGAGCGACACAACATTTCAGTGTTAGCGGGTCACGACACAACACAGTGTTAGCGGGTCACGACACAACACAGTGTTAGCGGGTCACGACACAACACAGTGTTAGCGGGTCACGACACAACACAAAGCCGTGTCAGTTGCCTACAAAAGTTAATAGGTGTGTGTTACGTGATTAAGTTACTGTTAGGAGTTTAATGCAATATCTCTCTCTCTCTCTCTCTCTCTCTCTCTCTCTCTCTCTCCACTTGAGTCTACCATCTAGTGTTCCTGTTGTTGATGAAACATAATGACTGTGGTTGTTACTTGTATTACCTCATTGTTCCTTCACTTTTGTTACGTATTACTCACCTAAATTATCTCGCGAGTAACGTCACGAGCGGCGAGAACCAATCAGACGTGCTAGAATCACCTACGTCATCACTAAGTCGTTTGCGGGAAAGAAAACTTTGGACCAATCGCCAGTCGCCGCCTTCATGTTTACCTGAGCGGGGCGAGGCGTGGCGGCGGGTCTCGGTAGTGTGTTGCACCTGCCTCTGACCGTACAGGTGAGTCTATTAGTGATAATCTTACGTAGACATACATCGGTATATAGATCACTGGATAGATAGATAGAGTGGGGTATAGAATCAATGGATATAGGGACAGATGTAGTTAAATAGACAGAATGTGAAGTATTTTTATTGACGGTAATACTGTCACAATGTTGAAATAGTAACCAACATAGGTCGAGTGTTAGTGGTCAGTGAGGTGTATCCAGTGACCCCATCCAGGAGAGGTGTGAGGGGGAGGGGGGGAGGGAGGCGGGGGTACAATTTTAGGTGGGTAATGGGCCAGACGTTGGTAGGAGATCTTCTTTAAGCCAAAGCTACACCAGACTAGTCTTCTGCCCTGCCCGCCTCACACCGGGTCCGGGGGTTCTGTCAGATAGCGGGTTGTGCTTCCGAATAACAATTTGAACATAAATTAAAAAAACTCGTTATGAACTGTTATCATCCTCCTCTTCTCCCCTCCCTCCTCCTTCCTTCTTCTTCCTCCCCTTCCTCCTTCCTCCCTCCTTCCTTTCTTCCTTCCTTTCTTCCTTCTTCCCTCCTCCTTCCCTCCTCCTGAAGACCACAGTACCTCACGCACTCAATAGGCTACATCATGACCTCTCATTCACAAATACTCTTTATTATTGTAAAGAGCTTGTGTCTTAACTTCAATTTGGCGAAAGTGGTATTATTACATTTAGGAGGGGGTGAGAGGGAGTGAAGGAGGGGTGAGAGGAGTGAAGGAGGGGGGTGAGGGGGGAGAGGGAGTGAAGGGAGGGGGTGAGAGGGGGGAGAGGGAGGAAGGAGGGGGGGGAGGGGGAGGGATGAGAGGGGGGAGAGGGGAGAGGAAGGAGGTGAGAGGGGGGGAGAGGGAGTGAAGGAGAGGGGGAGAGGGGAGGAAGGAGAG